ACTGGGGTTTCTAGGCATTGCATTTCAAGGCCCCTAAATACCCTTGGAAAAGCAGTGACTTTGCAAAAGGTTTAGGGGTCATGATGGACAAGCAACTCAGCATGAGTTCCCAGTGTGATGCTGGGGCAAAAAGGGCTAATGTGACCCTTGGATGTACAAACACAGGAGTGGGGAGGTCATTTTACCTCTGTCAATGGCACTAGGGAGACCAATACTGAGATAGCAAATACAGTTCTGGTATCTGCACGTTAAAAAGGATGTTGAAAAACTGGAAACAGCGCAGAAAAGAGACGCAAACCTGATCTGAAGTCTGGACAAAATTCATTCCAGCTTATGCTGCTCGCGGGGGTGGATTTATTATGCCGAGAGGAGAGCTGTCTCCCGGCGGCATAGAGCATCTTCACCAGACGCGCTGCATTGGTGCACCTGCACTGCTGTAGCACTTCTAGTGTAGACTAGATCTCACTTTGGCCATGGTGATGGGGGTCGGCCTGGCTTCAGGGCTGAAGAGGTCTGTGGATAGTTCCCTGGCTTCCTTCTTTGCTGTGATCTGCTCCTCTGTTTGTACAGTGCCTAGCACAAGGAAGACCCTTTCTTAGTGGGCCCTTAAGCTGTGATGAACACGATTCATAATAATACTCAGCCTGATCCTTTCGTAGCTCTTTACTATTCATAAGAACATAAGAGCGGCCATCCTGGGAAAGACCAAAGGTCCATCTAGCCCAGTATCTTGTCTTCCGACAGTGGCCAATGCCAGGTGCCCCAGAGGGAATGAACAGAACAGGGAATCATCAAGTGATCAGGGACCCCTGTCGCCCATTCCCAGCTTCTGGCAAACAGAGGCTAGGGAGACCATCCCTGCCCATCCTGGCTAATAGCCATCGATGGAGCTATCCTCCATGAATCTATCTAGTTCTTTTTTGAACCCTGTTATAGTCTTGGCCTTCAAAACATCCTCTGGCAAAGAGTTCCACAGGTTGACTGTGCATTGTGGAACTCAGGGATGGCTTCACCCAACACTTGCAGGCTAGTTCCTGTCTCTATCAGACCCCAGTGCAGCAAGTTAACAGTTCTCAGCCTCAGCTGTCTGGCTCTCAAGAGAAAACCCTGCAGTTTCCCAGATCTGCATCTCCCACTTCCTACACTCTCCCCCCTCCTGACCAGATCTCACCTCATTGCAGGGCATCAGGCAGTAACCTCCGTCCCCATTTCAGTCTCTGCCTCTCAGACTGCGACTCTCACACTCGCCCATTGGTGTTTGTTTATTGTGGTTATTTAGAATTATAATTGTTCAAACACCACAGATATCTTATGGCAGTGGGTCGAGGGAAAGGCCAAATAAAATAAAAAAAGCCTCTTCTGGCAAAGGGTCATTTGTCTTGTGAAGTCCCAGATAAATCGGCTTTTCATAACGTCAAACTAAATTAATATCCAAAGACGGGAACTATTTCATTTCCATGGAAGGGCTTAGGGTGCGGTTGGTGGCCTGTGATATACGGGTGGTCAGCTTAGATGATCTATGGGTCCCTTCTGGCCTTACATTCTATGATTCTATGTGACCAAAAGGCCTTCAGCAAAGAGGGAACAACCCACAATACAGACCGGGCTGTACGATACAATTAGGTTCATGGAAAGTGACGTCCCAGAGCATGTTCCTTCTGACTCAAACTCAGGAGAACAGATTTATACTTGGTCTCCACTGAACTGTCTAAACCTTTGGAGTCTTCTTATAGGATCATGTTATTTTCAGAAGTTTTAACATCATTCTAATGAAAGGGGAAAACCCAAATCCTTGAGCTCTGAATGAAACTTTTCCCACAGTCAAAGCATTTATAGGATTTCTCTCCCGAGCGGGTTCTCTGATGAGTCACAAAGTGC